ATCAAACTGCTCAACACAGCCTTCATGTCATTTTCTCAGTTATTGCTTTAAAACGTTCACATTCTACTCTTAGAAAGATTCACCTGTACCCCTATAAGATAAACCTCAGAAGTGATCCCTCCAAACCCCCTCCCTCCACCCATTCCCTCTCAGATATTTATAATACAGAAGACCTGTAATAGGACATTATTTATATTACATGCTTCAATTGCAAGGTCCTATTTAGGTTCTATTAGTATAATATCTCTTAATCAGACTTTCTTCTTTTTGGGGGGAGATAGCTGAACTATTCTGGTAGAAGCATAACCAGATGGACACAAAATCTATCCCTTGACTTTTGTATTGCCTGATATTATCCTGGGATGCCTAGAATACTGTTAAACACAGATCAGTAACATTTATGTAGTGTAATCCTGAGAAAAATGCCAAGTGCATGAAAAGCAAAGAGATTGAATTTTGTGAAAAATCAGGGACTAAGATAATACATGATTATTGAATTGCTTTTATGTACTTGTGACCTGGAATTGGTCATGGATGATTGCAGTATTTTGTCTTTTATGTGGGGAACAAAAGAGACCAGCGAGCTTAACTCAAACTGAATTGTTAATAAATGTAGATTTTCATAAGTGAAAAACTCAAATCAATTCAAGGTAGGGGGCAGGGGAACAAGGGGACAGAGATGGAGAGGAGCAAGGGGGATGAGGGTTAACGTGTGTGGCACACATATCAGGAGCGGGACACAATTATAAGAAGGACTTCAGCTAGCAAAATCAAATAACGTAACCTAATTCTTTGTACGCTCAATGAACCTAAAACAATAAGTAGAAAAATAAAAATAATAATTGTGGGTTTTTACATACAGTATTGCTTTTCTTGGACAAATCTTCTGAACATGTTTGTAAGGCTAATATAGTTTGTTTTCACCTTCATTTTATTGATTCTCTAGGTTACAACAGTTACGTTGCAAGATTTGCCCGGGTGTAGTCTTTGTACATTGGCAGAGTGTACGAGTCTTCAGTTTCTCTCTCTACAACGCTGTGGATTAAAGTCTTTACACAGCCTGAGTAACTGCAAAAAACTTAAGTACATTGATGCACAGGTAAGTCCTCTGTTATACGGTTATTTAGCTTATAATAAAATATAGATTCATCTTCATGTTTCAGAAATAATAATTTTGAAGAAATTGTTACTAAAATAACTTTACTCAGTGATCAAGGGCCTCAACTTTTGAGAACTAGAAAGGGAAGTTGAGTGGGTGGCATTACCCGGAAATTACCTATCTCTTTTGGCAGAATATGTGGTTTTTGTTTTTGATAATTTTTGCTGCATAATAAGTGAATATATTACTTAGTAGCTTAAAACAAAACCCATCTTATTTGCTCAGGTGCCTTTGGTCCATGAATTGAGACCAAACTTGGCTGGGTATTTCTTCTGTAATATTTTGTGTTGATTTTGTATCGTATGTTAATTGCAATCAAATACTTCTTTTATAATTCTACTGCCTTGGCCGGGATGTGCAGAAGGTTAGAATCTTCTGTGGCTTTCTTGGGCCCTTTTCCAGGTGTGCTGGATCTGAAAAGTGAGTGTTCTTAAAAGACAAGTTCTAATATGCAAGTGCTTTAGCAAGCATTTACTTGCATCTGCTGGAAAATATTTTATTGGCTAAGCCTTGAATTCATATGGGAAGAAGACTGTGCAGATATGTGAGTATTAGGTTGTGAGGTTTAATGGGGGCCCCCAAAGTCACAGTCTATCATAGTCGACCCTCTGGTTCCTAATGATTCACATCCTTCCCACACTCAAAAGGCACTCACGTTCCCCAAAAGGCACTCACGTTCCTCAAAAGGCACTCACGTTCCCCAAACCACCAAAGTCTCACCAACTTACAGCATCACCCTCAGGCTAGAAGGACAGAATCTTACCATCTAAAACAGATCCAGACGGCGATGAAGCTTTTAAGATCCATCCATTGAGGTGGAGTCATCTCAACTCAGATAGCTGTAAAGTAACATTAAAAGTTATCTAACCTCGTGCTCACTTCGGCAGCACATATACTAAAATTGGAACGATACAGAGAAGATTAGCGTGGCCCCTGCACAAGGGTGACGTGCAAATTTGTGAAGTGTTCCATATTTTAAAAAAAAGGTATCAACCTTTCCCCCACCATACAAGGTGGGTTTAGTGAGCTACAGTAGTCATTCTTATTCAAGATAGGAGAAATAGGAATGAGTATTTAGATTATTTAAAATAATTTATTATACTGTCCTCTGTGTTTCCAATATTTTAAAAGGATATTAATAAATATATGAAAAATTAATCTTTATTAATGTACTTAATATTTATCTAAAAGATATAACAGTTTGCATTTTATCTTAGAAAATGACAGATTTAGATATTCATTTGGAGATCCTACCTCATTCTTCCTCTTTTTGCAAGCTTTGAATATTTCATTAATAAGCCATGAAATAAAATTAATTGCGTTTGTTTTTTGCTCTAGGAAAACCATATTGAGACCATCAACTGTGAAAATTTGGAAAATCTCCGTGTTGTTCTTCTTAATAAAAATCAACTGACTTCTCTTCATGGTTTGGATGGCTGCATTAATATTCAAAATATTGAACTTTCACATAATAAAATCACTCGACTTGGTGAGAACAGTAACATTTTAATATCTAAACAATTATTTTTCATAGTTGTATTTTGCTTCCTTTACTCTCTTTTAAGGCTAGACCCCATCACTGACTTGCATATTTTATTTATATTATAGTTATTTAATCTTTTACATTAGATTAAGAAAATAAAATCACTTTTAATGTACAAAAAAAGAATATGTTCCCACCACTTGCAAGTGGGTAGTAGGCTCTTAAGTTAGTAGGTTCATTTTTCTGTTCCATTTCCTATAACTAGTAGTGATATGAGTGTCACTGGGGATACGACTGGTTTGATGCCATGATGTTTTTATGGATCCTATGCTTGTCACACTTCTCATCAGTTGTCATAACTATTTCCTGGTGAATCCTTTCATCACTACTCTCCTTGGACTTCAAATATCACTGGTACTAATTATTCCTTCTTTGGGCAAGGCCTCTAATGCTCCATGAAAGAATTCATCATGCTGATTCTCCCTAAATTTTTTAATCCTTCCATCACTACTTCTGCATATCTATGTAATTGTATGTACTTCCTTCAGCGTGTCTTACACTCCATATAATTCTAGCAATGAAAATATATTTTCTAATTTAAGGCCAATCAATATATTTTCTTACTTTATTTTATTATATTTTATTTTTCAGACAGTCTTGTTTTGTTGCCCTCAGTAGAGTGCTATGGCGTCACAGCTCACAGCAACCTCCAACTCTTGGGCTTAAGTGATTCTCTTGCTTTAGCTTCGCAAGTAGGTGGGACTACAGGCGTCCACCACAATGCCCAGCTAATTTTTGGTTGTAGTTGTCATTGTTGTTTGGCAGGCCCAGGCTAGGTTCAAACCCACCAGGTCTGGTGTATGTGGCAGGTGCCCTAGCCGCTGAGTATAGGGGCAGAGCCATATTTTCCTTTTTTAAGTTTAGAGTATTGCAGAGTTACAAATGTTTTGGTTACATAGATTGCTTTCCTATTGCTTGAGTCAAAGTTATAAGGGTACCTATCCCCCAGATACTGTATATTGGACCTGTTAAGTAGGATTTCACCATCCCTTCCTCTCTCTTCCTACCTGCTTGATTTCTGTTGAGTTTTACTTTCATCTGTGCCTAGGAGTGCTGATAGTTCCAGTTTAATGGTGAGTACATGATGGTGTTTTTCATTCTCCTAATGCTTAATGTAGGAGCATAATCTCTCATTCCATCCATATTGTTGCAAAAGGTATTGATTCATTTCTTATAGCTAAGTAGTACTCTATGGTTATACATATACCACATTTTATTTATCCACTCAGATTGATTCCACAACTTTGTGACTGCAAGTTGTGCTGCAATAAACATTTTAATGTAAATGGTAGTAAGAAAATTGGTTAGCCAGATGTAGAAGACTAAAACAGGATCCACGTCTCTCCCCATTCACTAAAATTAATTAAAGATGGATTACAGACTTAAACCTAAGACATGAAACAATAAGAATTCTAAAAGAAAATGTTGGGAAAACTCTTCTAGATATCTGCAAAGAATTTATGAAAATGACCCCAAGGGCAATCACAGCAACAACAAAAATGAATAAATGGTACTTAATTAAATTAAAAATCTTCTGCACAGCCAAGGAGACAATCAACAACGCTAATAGACAACCTATAGAATAGAAGAGAATATTTGCATGTTGTATGTAAGGGCTAATTACAAGAATATACAAATAACTCAAGCGAATCAGTAAGAAAAAATCAAACAACCTTATAAAAAAGTGGGCAAAAGACATTAACAGAAGCTTTTCAAAAGAAGATGGAATAATATTTAATGAACACATAAAAAATTTCGGCATTACTAATTATCAGAGAAATACAAATCAAAACCACAAAAAGATTACACCTAACTCCAGTGAAAATGGCTTTTATCAAAAAGTCCCAAACAATAGATGCTAGCAGCATAGTTGTGGAGAGAAACACGTATACCTTATTGGTGGAACTGCGAGCGAGAACAACCAATCCTGTTTTTATAAGTATATCTGTCTGCCCCCACTGGAACCTTACTCTGTCATTCTCTCCTGCCTTCCGTCAGATTCTTCCCGTCACTGGCCCCTTCCTCTCACGTTTCTAAAACACACACACATTTTCCTTTTACCTTACATGGGGTTCTATCATCGCCTCATCTCTCTTACCATATGCTGTCAAGTTTGGAGAAAGAATGTTGTCTTCCTGCTTCCTCTTCTTACCACCCGATTCCCCCCTTCCACCCACTGAAATTTAGCTTTAGCCTCGCTTCTACATGGTTTACAGTGTGGTAATTCTAAAAGAAAGATCTCACTGTCTGTGATTATCATGCTGCTATTTTCTAATATTGAGTTATATATTCAGTTTTTGTCTTTTGTTCACTGTTACTGTCATAAATACTAATACTTCAATCTGTAAGTTCTCCTTTGAGCAATGATTAGTCCATAACATCTGATGTGTAGGTATTTTCAGCCGTTGCAATTTTAAGTTGTCTTATCTTTTATCTAACATTTTAAATTCTCATATGGAAAAGTCATTTTTTTTTTCAATGACTTGCTTTCTTTGGTAGTTTTGTTGCGTTATAGGCAGAGAATAATTTTTATGCCATTTATGCTTTTTGGAATTTATTGTGGCTTTCTTGTTAATATAATATGTGGTCAATTTTCATACATGTTTCATGAGCACTTTATGAAAGGAAGTTTTTAATTGACATGTAGAGATCTTTTCATTTATAAGTCTACCTTAGTGATCTTTTGTTTTAGGTATCCTGTCTCCTTGATCTACTTTGGACTGAGGAAGTTGAGCTATTTTAAATTTGTCTATTACTAGTAGCCTATTTCTTTTTGATATCCTTTGCTTTCTGTTTTGTGAATATTGTTGACAGGCTTCTTATAGATAAATATCTTCCTTTTATTGTAAATTTTAACTTTGAATACTATAAGTTTCTTCATTTAGCTCTTTGAAGCCCTTGAAACTAAATTCTTCCTTGTCTGCATATGGCTTATTTTTGGTTTTATTTGTCTACTAGGTCATATTTTTTTATTTTTATCCTTTTAAATCACTTTTTTTTAGGTATTTACTTACATACAACATAGATTAGAGTTTTAGTTTTGATCACAAATTAAAAACTTCACTTGCATGTATGTCTTGACCACATGGATTTATTAATCAGTTTATGTATTTGGCTTTACTCCTGTCATCCTGCTCATAACAATGTCTTCTCTGGAAATGATCCTTGGTTTCTTCCACCACTTGGGCACCTCTTCTTTTTTCTTGCTCAGTTTTGATAGGATTTGCTCTGGACAAGTGTGGAATCAGACTGAGTTATGTTGGATTTGGTTACCTATTACCCCACGTACAAAAAAGGCAGGTTATCATTTCTTTATCTCCCATTTATACTGGAAGTATAAGTTGTGTGTATTTTTATGTTTATTGCTCTTTTTCTGGAGGAGGTAGGTAGAAAGTTGGATCTAGACAATGACCCCCATACCCCCCCTTTTTTGTCAATATGGAAAAAGTTGATCTGTTTACATGAAGCAAGCTTTATCTTGCAAACATTTCAAAGTATGCTTTTAAAAATATAATATTCTTTACTATGTGTATTTGCCTATGTTCCTTTGCTTCCTACTTTGGGACCACCCATTACTTCTCCCATATGAAAATACTGATATGTTTGGTGCAAATATTTTTACTTTAAAGTACATACAGAAATATGCTTGTTGTTGTTGGAATGAAGGCCAGGGCATCGATAATGTATGTTACTATATTGGCATTTAGTGCAGCAAACTTACAAAAAATAAAAAAGGCTGTTTGTAAAAAAGGAATGCTTAAATTCCCATTTACTTCATCTTCATTGCCAGGAGTGCTGTGTGGGATTTTTTTGTAGGTAGTGGATTTCCTGGGATAGGATATCACCAAGATTTATGTAAAAACTGCCATAATCGTAATTGATGAACCTGAGGTATCTCTGTGCAGTGCACAGTAAACAAGGTAGAACACTTCTTTGCTGTCTGTTGGGTACAATGAAATCACTGTATTTATTGAGTGTGAGAAGAGTATACATGAAAACATAGATTTTCTGAAGACCAGTTGGAGTCTGTTTTTCATCTTCAGGAACTGCTTGGAGATTCTGGTTGAGCTAAGGAAAAAGCATAGATTTTGTCTTTCAATGATATATTGATGCTAAGAACTCTTATGAAGGGACACAAAGATAGATTTGTATTTGTAAGTTAATAAGTTACTATTTCATGCTATAATATTTCTTACAGAGATGAAATAAAATTGGAAGCAATATGGCAATATTTTACATTTGTAGTTTTAAGTTAAAATGTAAAACTAAGCTATAGTCCCTGCAGTAGTTAATATGTAATGTTAGCTCTAACTACTCTTTTTGTTAGAAAACATTAAATGCACATTTTTATTTGGTCAATATTCTTTGCATTTAAGTGGATGGGAAGAGCATCTATGTAGACCTCTTTAAAGCACTTCATTTGAAAGTAGTTAATGCCAAATGTTTTCCATTCTAAGTAAAGTATGTATTTGTAAAAACAAAAGCATAATGTGAAATATTTCTAACCAATTTTAAATAAGACACTTTTTGTTTTTAGAAAAATAACCATTTTTAATTTAAATAAATAATTTTAAATTTAATTTAAATAATTTAGCAGTTAATTTTAATTTTAATATTTAAAAATTAAACAATTATTTTGTTATTAATATAAATTAATGACTTATATAAATTGAAAGTTACAAAGTAACACATTTTTCTTATTACCTTTAATATTTAAGCATACTGTGTACTATGCCTATGGACAGACATAGGTTTTTCTTACTACTATTATTAGTGATAACCATACTATAAATTAAAAATATAGCTTAAAATAGAGGCATGGAGATATATTATATATTGAAATGCATTTTATTTTCTGGCCACGTGAAGAAAATAATAAACTATATTATTGAGATATATATACTTCCATAAAATGTATGTAATAATTTAAAGGATAGTGTTTACAT